CGGAATACGTCTCTAAGGCAAAGCATCGATGGGCTGGTCATATTATGAGAAGGACAGACGACAGATGGACCCTAAGAACTCTGGAATGGATTCCTCGAGAAGCAAAACGTCCTCGAGCGAGGCCACTGACCAGATGAGCTTTCGTGTTCGTTGAACGGATGAACCAGCTGAATTCTCAGCTGGTATTGAGTAACGGATCTGGACCTCGCGAACGTAGCCGCCGCAGTTCAATGCCAACATGATGAATGATAACAACGCTAGCGAGAGAGAGAGAAACAGATGGAAACAGCGCTCCCTGCACGACAAGTGAAGAAAGGACATCTAAGTATCTAAGTAAGTAATGATACTAGAGTGTTGATGTGGGTCTCTTAACTTGCAAACTTTTTGCCTTTTCTCGCCGTACAATGGTTTGATTAAAAAATCTCTGCTTTCCGCTGAAGAACACTCGCAAAAGATGCAACTTTACGATACTTAATTAGTTGAGATTTTGGCTCTGTAAAGGTGCGGTAAAGATAAGTGATCATGCGCGAAATATGAAAACGCTCGTCGTAACTGATGATTGCACAGATTTTCAGCTGGCGAATTTACAAGGATACGAATCCATTTAGGCATATCTGATTCTAGTTGAGCTCGCCAATGCGGCACTACGCCTCGCAGCTGATGATGAAAACGAGGAAGATGAAGGCGATAAGCATAAAGAACGATAAAGGCGGATATCTTCCTGAGGAATGGGTTAAAGGAGCTGTCGCGGTTTGGCTTGATGAAAAAGAAGAAGAAGACAAGGAACAGGAAGAAGAAGAAAAGCAGAAAGAAGAGGAGGAGAAAGAAGATGACGGGGGAAGTAGTGGAAAGCTAATGCAGCTGAAACGCCTCAATAAAATGTCATATGTAGGAGGACTATTGGGGCACTAGCGGCAGGGTATGCCGCGTCGTTGCCATGCCTTACTTATGCAGGAATATTTTAAGGAGACGCGTTCGGAAAAGAAAACACAGTACTGTATCAGTTTATAGTGAAGAAGCTAGAAGTCAGAGAGAGGTCAACCATCGATGGACATCTCATCTTTGGAGTGAAAACGAAGATAACGGGCATCTACGGTTACCAGTAACTGTAGGATGTAGGAGCACCAAATAACAGCAGTCATTCTATCTGCTGTAAAGCTATAAAAGCACTTGTGTTTGGCAGATATGGGGAGATGTCGATGTGGAAAGCACAAGCAATACAGCTGATTAAAGCTCAGTGCGACCACGTTGGTGATTACTGGTATTCTCCAAGCGCCACAATTGCAGTTCTCCATTCTGACCCACTACCATATATGCACAGAGGAAATGACATTCTTGGCCGCATTATCAACTAGTCCGGATGCATCCAGATGTCAGTTTGTTGAGGAAGCGATTTAAAGGAAGATACGGCATTCGTAACAAATTTTAAGTTGAAGCTATGAACTGAAATGATATCAGAATTAAAAAACACTTTGAACAACTCTTGATTAATAATATAACATAGTATGGCAAGCGAGTACTCTGGGATTATGATATTCAGTCCAGAATGGAGAGAAAGCAGTTGATGTGCAATTGATGCGACAAATCGAAGCTCAATGTTTTGCGTTCGAGAATTATCGTAATTTATTAGCGTACATGTGGATTTGAGCGCCGCGAACTGATGCGCCAATATTATAGAATGTCGAAAAATTATAACGAAAGACCTGCGTTGACACAAAAGACCGTCTTCGAAGTAAGGAGTTGTTACTCTCTGACACGTACTGGCCTGGCGCTTTTGATGCTTACTGGAACTCCGGAGCTCCATTTAGGTTCTAGGAGCAGGGCTAATGCCTTTGACGCCATGGTAAGTGACATATGAATGAATAAGTTGGCATATGAATGTGCGGCTAAACTACGCCAGAATTATGTATTTAGAACGATACCTCTACCTGCGCATGGTAGTGGCAAGTAACACAAACTTACTCTCGCGACTATGTTGGGCAGATATACGAGAGCCATTCATAGAAAATCCGTGATTTGATTGCGATGCTGTTCTGTGGCAGAAAGCGCTATCCATTTGCCGTCCATCTCCATAAACTGTCGGAAGAAGGCGCTTGGTTGCTGTGTGCCTATGATTAAATACGTACAAGGAGTTTTCGCATGATAAGTTGAATGTAATTGCTTGTTTGAAAATAGCTGCTATACTTGATGAATCTAAGGGTAATAAACGGAAGCCATACACACGGCATAAGCTTCTGTGCCATGGTGCTCTAGAGTCATGTGGACCGTTTCGAAAAGGACAACCGACTCGTAGCATCATGCAATCCAAGATGAAAAATTGTGACCTAATTAGTTCAGTTGTATTATAGTTTCATGTTATAAAAAAGTGCGTAGTTTGGTTGTGTGTGTTTCTCTCTCTGTCACGAAATTAGTTCATTTGGCCTTACAAAAGATCGAAGAGTAGTAATCAAGCGTTACCAGTTGAATGCAGAACAACTAGTAAGCTCGAGCAATTTCGTTGTGAAAATATGGTAAGTTGGTTGTTCTTTTGTTGCTATGAAAAGGCTCTACGAGGGGGATTAAAGGTCTCTGCGCCTTTATCCTTCAAAAGGGTTGTGATGAAAATCAGAATTTCGGTACTTGCGGCAGTACAGTCTTGATGAATCTGTTTCCAGAAAATGTCAGTGCCAGCCTATTTAATGAACAGGTGAAACAATTGATTAGAATCATTGACAGTTGGGGTATTCCTAGATTTTCTCAATTTTAAAAATATCATTCTGATTAGATGTAAAAACATCAAATCGTTAAATTCTTTATAAGAATATTCAATAACACGACTTTAGACAATGTCATTAATATTCTTTCTATTAGCATCTCGATAACGAAGAAACTTCGCTTCAGATAATTGTTGACTTCCACAAAGAAAGCAAAGAATAAGTTGATAAAGCCACAAATGTTGCAAAATTTTTTTCTCCACTGCAACTTTTTCTTCTATTGCAACATTGATTCTTAAAGAATGAAAATCGATTGCCATATAAAAGGGCAGGACTTTGTAGCGTGGGAAATGTCTTTGTACTCACAATCTGGACGAAAGTTCAACGTGCAATATAGTTAAATGTCAGAGTAGTACACCTAGTATATAATGCGTTACAAATTTACAGCCACAAATTGAGCGCGGGTTCCGAAGAGATTCAAAAGCTCTTATTATATGATCGAGCTTAGCAATCAAATATAGCAACACAACTACCATATCAGCCTGTGTTCAAAATTTTTTAATTTTCAAATCTTCTTAGAGTTTTATATGGATATAACTGGCATACTAAATGTTGTTTTTATAGATACGAGCATAAGACTAAGGCCTATTATTTTTAATTTATACCATATCAGCTCCTGCGACGACAGCTTAAGAAGAAGGTAATTTTGGTTTTGCTAAATAAAACCTTGTATTTGCAAAAAAAACTTATATTACCACTTTTTCATTGTTGTCTCCACTCTAAACACTGCTAAATACAGTATACAAATAGCTGAGATCTCTACTTAAATTAACTTCTTTCACAATTTTGAAACCTAAGTTCGACGAAATATCTGCAGGTATGCATGTAGTTGATGCCTTTTACTGTTGAAATGCAAATGTCTTAAAGACCTGGCTACTTCGTAAAGCGTCTTCCGAATTGTTACCGTCAGACGCCAAATGCGCCATGACATGCATTCAAGATATTTGCTCCAGATGTGTATCGAGCAGAGGCACTGAACATGACAAAGAAAGCTACTATTAGTGCCATGATTGTTTGTTTGTTTTTTGCTGTGTTCGATGCAGTTATTGGCCTTAAATTTGTGCGAGGCGGAATCTGAGGATAATCTGTCACCCCAGCAAACCCGTACAGCTCTTCACAGTCTTCAAAGAAAATGTGTAAAAGCGTTGATAAAATCGTTTCTGTCATTAGCCTATGAACCAGAAGACCTGC